GCTGTTAATGAAAGTACCATTAAAGACAGGACCGAATCTAAGTTACTAATTATGTTTTCTACCAACAGAAGTCGCAGAAGGTTTTGTATGTCCAGAGCGTATAATCATAATTATAAACATTCTAACCAATGCTGTTAATGAAAGTACCATTAAAGACAGGATCGAGTCGAAGTTACTAATTATGTTTTCTACCAACAGAAGTCGCAGAAGGTTTTGTATGTCCAGATCCTATCGAAACTGCCGAGCAGGCTGGCGTTTATACCCGTCATGCTCATCCAACCGATTGTAGGTATTTCTTCGTATGTATTGAGGGGGTTGCACGATCATACGGATGTGGAATAACGACCGTCTTTAATGCGAAGACTCTACAGTGTGAGGAGCCCGAGAATGTGGCAGGATGGTAAGTCGAATCTTTCTCGGATGATAAGGTTCTTGTAGTTAAAGTTTTCAAGACTATTAACCCTTACCCAAAATGGTAGAAAGGTTGAAACTTCGAAAGAAAAAGACATTAGGAGCATGCACAAAGTATATGTAAGCGTACTTGAACAATGAAACAATAACATTGATAATATAATTTATCTTTTATTGAAAATGTGTGATTTCAACGTGAGATTTACAAGTAATGTTAAAACTGTAAATAAATACTCGCAAATTGTTATCGACTTAAGTGGAGTAAAAGAAGGTGAATATTAGGATAACAAAATGCTAATAAGTATACCTTCAAACGGTCGTTATTAAAACTGTTCTCTTCTTAGCAATAGGGCCAGCTTGCCGGGCTATGTGTCGAAAGCTTGCGTCGTGATGCCACTGAACATACTCCCCATTTTCAGCTGTTATCGTAGTTCAAAGGTAACAGTCAGCCCCATTGTTTATTTCAAAGCTGGAAAAAGCCCTTGTGGCGGTGGGTGTTGCTGACTGGTTGCATTTCGTCTAGTCAAAAGTGCAAAATTAAGGATAGTTATACTTGACCTTTCAAGTGGGCAATACTAGTACTATCGAAGAAAGTACAATAGTATACACTTTGCTGCCTGATTTTTAAAGGCCATTTTAGCATATCTTATTATTTTCATAACGCATTATTCAACAACCTGTAATGGTGAATATTTCATTCACGACTATATCTTTTATGCTAAAAAACGTAACTTAAATCAGTTTTGTACAATGGCTTAGCGATAAGTCTGAGAGCTTATAATGTTAAATATTTGGTTTCGATACCCGTGGTGGACAGAGAACAGATAACCTATTGTGTAACTCTGCGCTTAACAACAACAAAACAACAAATATATACATGGCTGTGAACACGACAGACCTATAAACTATTAACTGAAACCCACGTATAATACTTGTATACAGGTACATAACGAACATCGTTTCTTTATCTTGATGCGTTTTCATTGGCCGGCAACAATTTACAGATTGACGCTTGCACTTTTGTAATTTGGCGTTTTTTTCAGCAAGAGATAATAGATAGCAAGTATGCATGATGAAACAGTTATCAGAAATATAATACTTATGTAAATTAATTTTCGTTTCTAAAATTAATAACAGAAATAGTATTTACCTTAAAAATACAAATTTGATACTGATTGCTTTGTGTTATACAAATAAAATTAAATTATTGTAAAACCCTCGGGGTTATTTACACTCCAGTGCGCATGCGCATAAAAAGTGGTAATGGATACAGCTTTTATTTTTGACTTTGTTGATATCGAGAGTGGCAAACGCTTGTGAAGATTGAAATTAGAAATAATTAATCTAAATTTATTTCAGTGAAACAGGTAGAAGAGACGGCGAACATAAGGGTTTTATATGACTTTCGGAATGAATATATTCATAATATTCTGTGTTGATTGATGCTCATCTCATGCAAGATTAGGGGTAGTTTAGAAAAATATATCCGAGTAAATTCATGTACCAAAAGCCCGACTATTATATTACTCAGCTGTTATAAAGAACCGCCACATGAAATAAAATAACAATAAACTTGAACAATCACTTTTAAATAATCATTATAAAAAAAATCATCCGAGTGAAAGCTTAAGAGTAAACTTTGTTTCATTCCTATTTGGAAATACTTGAGAATTTTTGAGTAACACCAAAAGCTTTTATGATTTCATAGATAAAACCAGTGTTCGAACTTTGCAATATTAAGAATATATCAATAACGATATATAATAAGACTACTTTTATCGACTGTATTTTAATTTCTCTAATTTTGTAATTAATTATTTATTTTTCAGTGAGAACTATTACGACGATTTGGAAGTGGATCCCAAAAAGCTTGCTAAATTACAGGGCTGAAGAGTTCCTGGTTATTTTATTAATTGTATCAGAAACAGTGAATAAGAAACAATTTGTTTACTATCCGTTATGGATACAAACCGTTTTATAACCTGTGTGATTTGAATGTATGTAATGTGCGATATCAACATAAAAATATGATAATTAATATAAAATTTTATCACAAATGTTTGACGAAATCTTTTTACAGTCATTGCCAATTTATACTTGCTTTTTAATTTGAAAACTTCGATAATTTTAAAATCAGGAAGAATCGGATATCCGTTGTAGTTTTGTTATAATTATATGTAATATAAATTTCTCCTATCGTTTAACTAGTGTAATTGTACAAACCATTAACGTTGGTAGTTTATAAATAGTTGACGGATAGTTATTTGTAAGTGATTTAACAAACAGCTGCCACGCCACCTCGTAATATTGAATATAAACATGTTTTTATTTGTTATATTATTTCGAAATTGCTAATAATAAATATTTACTTCTTTGAGAAGTGAAATATTTGAACTGGTATGTCTGTGAAGAGCTTCTATCGTGTTGGACAATTTGAGCCCGTTATCTTAGTACCAGTTCACAGGCTATTTTATATGTATGCAGTTTCAATCTATTCTGTAACTTATACAATATTCCTGGACTTATTTTATTACTATTTTAAATATTAAACAAATGATTCTAACAGTCTGGCCGAGAACTCTTCAAAGTTTACTTGCTTCAATCAGTTTTAGTTTCTCTGTAACATTGGTATTCTAAGAAAACTTACATCCTAGAAAGCGTGTACAGTTAGTATTGCAGAATTCTCTGTAGAATCTATGTCGATAATCATTCTGGGAACAAGTTCAATTCATATGGAATCTTTATATCTGAAATACTATGTAATAACCAAAATTGACGCAAGGTTTTTACTTTTTTTTAAAGAAAGCGAAAGTACGCAAAAACGTTTAAATAATTTTATGAAAATGTACGAAAATAAACGTTAATTGAGATATAAGTTAACTTCTAAAACACTGTATTAATAATAAATTTTGAAAATCTCGATAAATTATTCTTTGTTTTTTCCAGTTTCATTAAACATTCGTTAAAAACCTATTTACACGTGACAAACACAGTTTATCACCTTGAATTTATAGTAACCAAGCTCCAACTAAGTAGTATTGGTATTGTTTCAATTTTCAAGTGAGTGAATGTAAAGTAATAAGGTATTTCTCACAGGGAGCAGTGTCCAAAACTGTCTACTTTTTACGAATACCTTTAATGTTAATGTAAAATTATGTGTTTTTACTACAGTGAGTAATTAGACAATTAAAAGTGAAGAAAATACTCGGAGAACTTACAGTTTTAAATTTCATTAGATTGATTTTTTTTTCTATTCAACTGAAGACAGAAGATTACATGAATCAGTGATGTAAATAAAACATGATTCTATTTAATAACTGCCTTTGATAACTTCCCTATACTCAAAAATATCCGCCCCTCCAGTGGCCCAGCGGTATGTCTGTGGACTTACAACGCTAGAATTCGGTTTTCGATACCCGTAGTGGGCAGAGCATACGTAGCCCATTGTGTAGCTTTGTGCTTAATTACAAATAAGAATATCCTAAACTAGGAAGCGCTACCAAACGAAGATCCTGTGTTTTTCTAGGTTGGAAACTAGAATTCTATAATATTTCATTTGACAAATCTTAAATTCAAAGTGACAAGAAATAATAGCATTATTTCTATTAAACTTGTTCTTTGAAAGTTTCTTCATCAAACAATTCGATCCGTCCCCACACAGACAGTGCTACCGCATTCCTGATGATAAACAATTCGATCCGCCCCTACACAGACAGTGTTACCGCATTCCTGATGGTATCATCAGGAATACGGTAGCACTGTCTGTGTGGGGACGGATCGAATTGTTTATCATCAGGAATGCGGTAGCACTGTCTGTGTGGGGACGGATCGAATTGTTTATCATCAGGAATGCGGTAGCACTGTCTGTGTGGGGACGGATCGAATTGTTTATCATCAGGAAAACAAACAATATTACAGTATTCATTATTAATTCACTAAAGTTTTGTATAAACTTTAAGAACTCAATATGTATATACATAAAACTATGTGATAGTCAGGGTGACTTTGTAGGAAGAGGTAGTGGCGGTAGGGGGTGCTTTCTGTTATTCGCTTTCAACACCTAGCTCTTGGTGTCCTTCCACAGTGTTTCACGTGATTAGTTAATAGACGGTCATTGGTCAAAAAAATGTCTTACGGGCCGAAGTTGAAAAGTCACGGTTCAAAGTAGGAAGTTGGTATAACTCAAAAAACGGTTCTTCTTATCAGCCTTATGGTGGGTGTTGAAGTAGAAACTTCAGCTGAGTTTATGTATTATTGCAATATTGGCCGTTATTTTTTATTGCATTTCTCCATAGAGAGTGCTAGCGCACTCTCCGAGATATTTAAGACGTTTTTGTGCCCACCCTCACACTGCGTGTATGTTATCTAATATAAAATTCAATTATACAGTTTTTCTTGGCCCTTTCACCCGTGGGAGCGTTATAATGTGACGGTCAATCCCACTATTCGTTGGTAAAAGAGTAGCCCAAGAGTTGGCGGTGGGTGGTGATGACTAGTTGCCTTCCCTTTAGTCTTACACTGCTAAATTAGGGACGGCTAGCGCAGATAGCCCTCGTGTAGCTTTGCGCGAAATTCCAAAACAAACAAACAAACAAACAGTTTTTCTTTCCTATGTAAGAACGTGGTGCCATCTGTGAATGTAGGTTACGTTAACTTACGTCAAAGATAATAAATGCTCAATAACAGTAATAATGGGGTTGGGAGTTGTGAACCAATCATTAACACGCCCCATGTTCCAAATTATCATCCCACAAAACTTAGTTGAGATTGTTCCAGCGAACTAGGAGTACTTAGATAAGGGACAAACAGATAGACACACACAGAAGTTTGTGATATATATATATATATATATATATACAACAAACTAACTAACCAAAAACCAAAACGTAACGG